TCGGCGCAATGGATTATCAGAACCAGGCACCGCCGTCTTCTGAACCTTCTCCTTCACCATCTGAACGTCCTCCGGGAATCACATCGCCGGAGACATCGTCGAACAATCAGAATCATGAGATTGAAGATATTATGGCTTGCGTCACGGCTTTAGAAGCTGCTCTGCTTCCATGTTTACCCGCTAGAGAGCTTCAAGCCATTGATCGCTCTCCTCAACCTTCTCATCAAAGTCAGTCCCTTTCTCAACTCTCCATCTTCAATCCGAACCCTTAGATTAAGAAATTTGACTGAAATTTTAGTAAATCCCAACTTCAGCTTCTAGGGTTTTGGTTTGTTAGTTTGGAGTCTTGTCTTGTTGGGTTTCTGAAAAGGCAATGACTTGTTGTTTGGTAATGATAGTTTGGAATTGTGTTGTTAAGAAGATAGCTTCTTCTTACTCGTTTTACGTTCACTTCGCTTGCATAGATAGTGAACATTTTGATCATAACCCGAATTATCGAGATCCTATTCGAATTCACAAATCGATTATTTTAGTTTGTGTTCTGGTCTTTGATGTCTTGAATTGTGGATTATAAAGAATGTGAAACAGCTCATTGAAACTCTGCAGTTGATGTTGAGCGGCACGCCAGAGATTTCATGGAAGCTGCAAAAAAGCTTCAGCTTTATTTCATGGGATTGAAGCGAGAGGATCGCACGCCCACAAGAGCAGAAAGTCTTAAGAAGGTTAAGTTTTGGTTCAGCTCAAAACCCGCTATTGCGAAACCACAAACCCATTTGTGTTTACCAGTTTCTGCTCTTAACAGGAGATTGCAGCAATGGAGGAAGAGCTTAAGACAAAGGACGAGCTTATAAAGAAACACACAAGGCTTATCCAAGAATCACAGAAGCTAGTGAAAGAACAGAGAGAGAAACACCGAGTGGAGCTGGAGAAAGTGTAACATTTTTTTCTATTGTTTTGGTTTTTTATGGATTAAGCTAAGTTTTTTCAATAGTAAATAATGTAACACTACTATTATTCATCCATTTATGTCCTATTTTACAATGCAAGAGTAATATTGCAGACAAAAGTGGGATTCTCATCTGCAAATCCACATCCCTTACAAGAAGTGCAGTTACACTTATTATTTTTTTTTGTGGCGTTTATAAAAAAGTCTAGATTCATTTACAATGGAAACTTTGAAGAAAGATACTCATAGGGGGAAACACAGTCTCTTGGGATTGTGTTTTTGATAACTTCATTTCATATATCCATATGAGGACCACTTGGGGTGGGTTGGCTTTCCAAAGGCATGTACTGTGCCATGATCCCTCTTATTTCAGCATCCATGTAAGTCTGCAGAA